TCTTGCTAGCTAAGTCTTATGTTATGTTAGGAATCCAGCAAACTTACCAAGAGCTTCAGCATTTCCTTAGTGTCGGGATCTACTTCAATGATCTCCTGATCCAGGGCTGAAACCTAGAAAGAACAAGGTGGGTCCACAATGCCAATCAATGCGCTCTGTCAAATCTCCTGAGACTTCTCCCCGATTCCTATGTGGGTAAACGATTCCTCAAGATTAACAGGCCCCAAGGACCACTGTGTGGGGCTGTAGGTTAATGTGTCAGATTGCAAAGCTGGTTGAACTGCAAGGTTGACGGTTCAAGCTCACCAGCTGCTCCTTGGAAACCCTATACAGGGTCGCTATGGGTTGGAATCGACTCCATGGCACTTCACAAGGACCCCTACTACTTTCTGGTTTTACTTTTGCTCTTACTCTTAATCATTATTCAAAAAAACCAATAAGATTGGATTCATGCATCTTTGTTAGGAGCAAAAAAATATACCAGCAGTCACCAAATGCATCAAGGGCTGCCCTGTGGGAGTTAATGCACTGGACTGCAAGGTCGGTGGTCAAATTCACCAGCTGCTCCTCAGAAACCCTATACAGGACCACTATGGGTCAGAACTGACAGACGGTACTTAACATTAAACTTTTAAAAAGCCATTATCAGGGCTAATATAAAGTAGGCAGATTTTGAGGCTCCTTTGGATGTCAGGTACTTCAAAGATTGTTAGGAACTTGCTGAGCCAGAGGCCCAGGGAAAGACGCAGAAGGCTTACCTCAGGAACATAATTATCTCTCCTTTCTCTCTCTTCCTCTTGCAGCTTGATGGAGATACCTCTCACCGGGCCCCTCTGAATCCGCTTCATCAAATGAGTGACATATCTACCAAATGCAAATGCCAGCAACAGTGAAGACACACACCAACATGTAGATACATCACTGCAGTCTGGGGGGTCTATCCTTCCCAGCAACAGTGAACACAAACACCAATATGTAGGTACATCACTAGCAGTCTGGGGTCTAGTACCAATCGGGCTCACCATCCTAGGGCCTCTCTAGTTTGGAACTACTCCACTCCATACACACCCTTTGCATTCATTCCCCCATTTACCAATCGTCCCTAAAACGTTACAAGACCCTTCCCTCTTGGCCTTCACTGTCCCCAAGTTTACGTTTTTATCATTTATTCACGCTTTCACTGCACACTCAACTTTCATTTTCTCAACTGTATTTTAACAAAAACATTTGGAGCAATAATAGCATCGTGGAGTGTAAATAACTTTTTTTTTTTTTTTTTTTAAATCACCCCTTAACAGCAGCGACACCAGAGATGGACGCAGAGATGGGAACATGGAGACAGGGAGCAGCTGAGGACTCTAGATTCATGGAAAAGAGGGGCCGAGAGCTGGCGGCCAGGAGGCGGACTTGCAGAATGTGCCCTTTGGTGGTTTAAATTATTATATATGCCTGAGTGTTTTAAAAAAGAAAACAAAAAAGGCAAGAACTAAAATGAATAGAGAAATCCTGTTAACTGATAATACATGGAGGGATTATAATCATTGTGATAAAACAAAGTATATGATTTGTTGAATGTAAAACTGACCTGGCCTGTAAACTTTGACTCAATCCACAATAAAAAACCACCCCTTAAAACCAACGCGGCTGTAAAGTAAGGGGTTTGACTGCTGTTGGCGCTGACCAAATCTAAGCGCTCTCAAAGGCGACGTTCCTCAGCTCGCCGCCTTGACATCCGGCCGGCTGACACCAACCTAGCCGCGGGGGCTCCGGGCCGGCGCACTCACCCTGCTATCTTGTTGCGGAGCTTCTTGCTGGGAATAATGGCGATTTCCTCGCACACGCGCTTGTTGGTGTGAAAGTCGTTGCCCAAGCGAGTGTAGTACTTCTCAATGATGACCCGGGCCGCCTTCTTCACGGTTTTGGTGCGAACGCGGCCCTGCGGGTTCAGAAGACAGAGTCACTCGTGAGTCTGCGCACCGCTCCCGGGAGAGCGGCTTCCAGCCCGGCGAGTGTGGGGGAACGAGAGAGAGAACCGGCCGGGCAGTGGCGGGTACGCGGAGGGGTCCCTGCGGAAGCCAGCCGCCAGCTCTGAGGTCCGAGTATACTGGGGCCTAACGCCTACCCGGCCCAGAGCTGCTCCTTGATGGAAGCAGGCTGCGGATAGCTGCGGATGGCGAACGATTGTGAGGATGGGAGACTCGAGCTAAACCACCTACCATGTTGACGGGTCCCTGATAAAAGAGGAAACAGGAAGCACAAGTGAGGCCTATAAATCACAGGCCAGATAGCCGCTTCCGCCTGGCCTGGGAAGTGCGAGCCAACTCGAGCGCGTCACAGCGGCCCCTGGCGGAGCGGGGCGGCAGTGTAGGCGGGGGGCAGCCCGCCATCCGTCGGCCCTAGCCTCGCCTCGCCCCTCCGGCAGGCGGGGCGCAGGTACGTCCCGCCCCGGAAAGCGGGACTCCTCCATTTCCGCTCCCCGCCCAGCCAGAAGAGTTGCCTTGGGTCAGCTACCTGGAGTCATGGCTTCTGAACCCTTACCTCTGGATTAATGTAGTTTGGATTAGGAAGAGTGTATCGCATCTCTGGCACACGCTAGGTTCCGCACACACCGGGGATGGAGAGGTCAAGTTCTTGGGAAAGCAAAGAAAGGAAGGCGAGCCGGGACTATGAAAATATGAAGCAGGGGGTGGCGCCCCACTAATATTCAGTCTTTGGGATAGAGACTTGTCTTGGTAAACTACTAGGACCTTAGCACGCTTCTTCCGGGTCTTTGCTCAAACGTCACTTTATCCGAGGGGCTCTCTCGCCAACTTGTATCAATTAGTACCGTGGCTCCATTCTCTGTTCTAGTAAATGCTTGGCGCCGAGGGTTATGCGTCCTGTAAGGTCCACGGGAGAAAGATGAGGCTGGCCGCTCCCCTATAGCGATCTAGTCTCAGAAAACTTACCGAGCGGTTACGAGTGAGGCTGCTAACCTTATGGTCAGCAGTTCAAAACTACCAGCAGCTCTGCGGGAGAAAGATGAGGCTTTCCGCTCCCATAAAGAGTTAAAGCTTTGGAAACCCTATGCAGGGTCGCTATGCGTTGGAAACGACTCCATGGTAAACCACCACCAGGTCGCTGTGGGTTTGGTTTTTGGTAGCACTTGTCACATGACCTAGTCTTCCCAACTGGGGATGAACTCCCACCATTTGAGTGGATGAAAGGCCCAGTTCATCCTTAGAGCTCCCAACAAGTCAAGGTGCTTTTCCACTCACAGCTGTCTCCAGGCTGGTCCTACCATTTTGTTGCTAAATGCCGTTCTGTATAAGGTTTCCGAGAAGCAGCTGGCGAGTTTGAAGGCTCGACCTCACAAATCAAAGCGACCTTGTGCTCTAGTGCTTATTCTACAGGGCCACACTCAACCCAAAATTAGGTTCTTCCAGTGGCCTCATCCGCCAAATCTGGTCCCTGGGCTAAGCCAAGAGTGGGCTGGCCAGGTGGGTAGGAGTTACAGGTTGTGCCTCATCCCTCAACTCTGCGCAGCCTGTCCTAGCCAGACTCACTCTTAGGGACTGGAGAGGGTAAGTCTGTGGTTCAAACCCACTAGCTGCTCTTGGAAACCGTATACAAGGTCACTATGAGAACACTCAGCAGCACATAACCAGGATTAAGAAGCCGGTTCCGTAAAGTATTGGACACAGAGGCCTTTCTGGGACAGAAGAAGAAACTAAGAGGAGCAGGGGAGGGTGAGGGGCTCAGGAGTTACAAGAGCTTATTTTACATCAAGATTTCAGATCAAGCTGCTGCCAGGCCCCAAGGGAAAAGTCAGGCCCCCTCACTACTGCTTGAGGGGATTCTACCCTCCACAATGGTCAGTTCTTACACTAAGAGTTATAGAGAAGGGTTACTTCTGTATGTAGGGGGTTCCCTCTATCTCAGACCAAAGGCCCGGGTCCATCTTACCTGGAAAAGAAAAATCAGACCCTTTCACAAAAACACTTGAGTGATGGGCTTTCTGAGGTAAAATAGCAAATAAATAAACTACTTCTACTCCGAATGGAATTGGGACGACACAGATGAATCCTAGAGGATGAGAACTCTCCCAAGCAAGAAGGAACAGGCCCGAGTCTTACAGGAGACGCTGAGAACAAGTGGGTCCTGCTGAATGAAGCCTCACCTCCAACATTCACCCAAGGTGGGTCTGGAGGCTATGAGAGGACCCCAAGAAGCTGAAGAATGAGGGCTGTTTGTACTTGGGCTACAAGCCCCCACCTGCTGGAGCATGTCTCCCACATGGCTGTACTGTCATCCTGGGGTAGAATCCCACCACAGATAATCCAAGGAATCAAGAGTTCTTATTATAGAATCCTGTTACCCTACTGTCCACTTCCCCCACACCTTGGACACAGACACCAAACCAGAACTCTGCTGCACGTGTTTATTATGTGCCAAAAAAACCTACTCCACACACCTGTAGGAGAGTGCAGTCTTGCCTGCATATACTACAATGAGGTAGAGACTTCACACACAGCTTCACAAAACCCACAGAGTAGCTGGGATATGCAACAATGCAACGTCAGTTCAGCAGGGGGGGAGGGGGGTATGACACTGGTTCTTTGGCACACAGCTTCCCAAAGAGGGGCAAGTAGTTTAAAAAAAGAGAAAAAAAGAAGTCAAGTTTTCAAATTCCAGTAGCATTTCAGTCGACTGCAACTGTTGTTTCATACATTTTTCAAATGAAAGCAATAAGGGAAGGGTACTTGCCCCCTCTAAGTAAAAGGGCTCCTGTGAGCCTTCATCTGCCCCCACCAAAAAGCAGCCCTTTTTAGCTCTGTTACAAAAAGAAAAAAGTCCTGTGACTTTGTGATTAAAAATGTCTACCAACCCTCCCCTGATATAAGTGCAACTTAAGAAGGTGCAGTAAACGGTTTAAAACTAGATACCGCAGCCGTTCAGACACCGTTCATCCGGTCCAGTTTCAAATTAAAAAAAAAAAAAAAAAAATCCTTTTTTTTTTCTTGGTTGCAAATGCCTTGATTTGCAACTGTGAGAAACGGTGACCAGCAGTCCCCCAGACACAAATTTGCTATAATGTTAAAAGCTGCCAGGAAAGAAAAAAATCTCTTGTTCCAAACGACTTAAAAACTGTTTTAAGGAGTGTAAAAAGGAACCGGTAAAAACCCTCGAGCGTAAAATATGAAATATGATTTTGGTTTAAATGAAGAGCAAAGTCTCCTTATTGTTTACAGTAAAAAACACCAGCTGAACACTCAGTTTATGCCGTTCAGGTGGGGGTAAATAAATGGAAAGGCACTGTATGGCAACTGCAAGAATGAGACCAATGAGACCTGCGCGGCATCACCATCAGTATTGCAAGGAATGTAAAAAAGCGCTTTTAATAAATAAACCTAGATGTAGGCATCCGTGTCAACACCTTCTGGACACGTAGTTCTTTTTTTGCTTTTCATTGGCAAAATGAGGAACTAAAATCTGGGAAAACTGCAGAGTCGCTTGGAGGGTGAGCCAGAGGGGTCTTCCCCTGGCACATCCCCCTGAAAACAAAACCCGACAAAACTCATTGTGCAGTAATTAGTGCAGAAACAAAGACAGATTCAGCAAGTGCAAAGGTGACTACAATTTTCCCTTGTCCTCGGGAAGCCAGCTCCCTGGCCACCAGTGGCGGGGTGGTGCAGGCTGCTGCCTGAAGGGCCAGCCTTGGGCGCCACAGGCCAGGACCAGCTCTTCTAGCTGGAGTCTCGGTTCTTCTGGTTCCTCATCAGTGGGCTGTGGTGGCGCAGGCCCTCCAGGCTGTGTCTCCAGTGCCAGCAGCTCCGACAGAAGTACTTGAAGCAGACCTGGGGTCAGGGAGAAAAGGAGACACCATGCCTGTGTCAGCAGCAGCCATCAACTCCTTGCTGTACTTGGAGAGGAGATGGAGGATTCCCTATGGTCTGTGCGGTATCATGGCAAATCCATTGTCCATGTTTCTGTGGGGGCCTTGACTTAGTCAAGCATGTTGGACTCCTACTATGTACTCCTTCCCTCTAAACACCACAGCTACTCTCTCTTTCTGCCCTGGCCTCCCTTCTAACTGCCTATACAGCAGAGGTGGGGAACATCCAGCCCACAGGCCATAAGGCCCTTGAAATCACTCGGTCTGGCCCTCTCAAGGCAACTGCAGTTCCAGCCATCACATCGTTGTTAAGTGCTGACAAGTTGGTTCCAACTCACAATGACCCTGTATAGGGTTTCCGAGGAGCAGCTGGGGGTTTTGAAGCGCTGGCCTTGCAGTCCAGCTCATTACTCCGCAGTGGAACACCATGACTCCTAGTCATCACGTTAGTGGTGCATTACGTATTTGAGCCAAAATAGCAGGCTAATTTTTAAGCTGATAACTTTGTATGGCCCGTGCATGATTTGTTCCTCACCCCAAGCCTACAAAATGGGTGTATCCACATGACTGCTAACAGGCAGAACTTCTAAAGACACTGAATACAGATTCAAATGTTTAGCAACAGGCCCTCCTATTCAGACTGACTGAGGAGAGGTGACTGGGTTTGTATTCCCATCTCAGTTCTACTTCTTGTTAGCTGTGTAGCCTCAGACAAGCCATGCGCCTCTGAGAAATTACCTGAAAGTGGGAGTCATCTGTAAGACTGTTGTTAGTGCAGTTCAGTGGATGCCGACTCATAGCGACCCTGTACAGGGTTTCCGAGGAGTGGCTGGTGGGTTTAAACCACTGACCTTGTGGTTAGCACTATGCTTATCCTATAGTGCCACACTAGGACTCCATCTGTACAATATTAACTCACCAAAGTCTACCATCAGAGGGGATACTTGTTCTCAGGTTTTATTCAATAACCCAGACTTTTCTTCAAGTCCTCATTTTGAAACTTAGTTTAATTACTAACCCAAAGATTGTAAACCTAAAGTAATAGCACCAATGCAAAAAATCCAACCATGGATTGATTGATAGTACGGAAGCCTCCAGCTTCTTCCCCTAACACTCTCCCTTCAAAATGTGGTACAGATTAGCAACATCAGCAACACTTACTTGGGAACTTGTTAGGCACAGACTCATGGAGCCCCAACCCAAACCTACTGAAAAGAATCTAAATTTAAACAAGACCCTTGGGTGATTTTTATGTACTTTAGTTTGGGAAGTAATGCCCATTAACACTCTCAGATCTATGTCCCACCACCCAGAAACATTCCACAAAAAGCTGCCCTGCTGGTTTCTGCCTGTTTCTGGCAGCTGGAGGTAAGGTCTAGGTACAGTATATCACAGCAGTCCAGAGATTGAGCGATAAAGAAGGCGGTCCTTTGGGCAGGAGAAAAAAAATCAGCCTAGCAGGCAAAAGATCTATACCAGCAGAAACTCACCCAGGCATCTATCATCTGCCATACTGCGCATCAACATCCCAATTTTGGGTCAAGCTATTTATAGTGTGTCCCTAGTCTGATCATCACCAAACATTACTGCTGCCTCCTCTATGCTCTCAGACAGCAAGTTACTTTCATTGTTGGCAGGACCTTCACAGACAGCCCATGTGCCCAAGACGCACCTGATCCCGACAGAAGAAAGGACCAGGCTGAGAGCTGCAGATGTGACACAGAGAGTCTTCTAGGTAGGGGTCAATCTGAACCTGCACAAAAGCAAAATAAGAGAATGAGGAGATGGTTCTTCTCTCAATGAGGCCAAGAGGCTAGACGCAGGACTGCATGATTGGGCTGCACACAGAAATGCAGGCTGTTTGCCTTTTTAAAGGATGCCTAGAAAATTATGGGACAAGGGCACAATAGGGATCCTAAAGGACAGACTCGCACAGAGGCAAGCTGGTCACTTCTGGGATGTGAGCAACCACACCCTTTACTGGTTGGTGCTCCCAGTAAACTGCACTCCAGCCTCTGTCACCTAGCAATAGGTAAGCAGCAGAGCATGTGGAAAGGGCTAGAGAATGGGAAATCAGGCTAGCTCACAATGTCGAGCAAATACCACAGTAAGGGAAGGCACTCCACAGTCCTCAGAGCTTCTACAGCACAGGCTCACACTCCTAAACCCTAATCATGCTGAGTCTCAATACCTTCAGCTCACTCCCTTGAGCAGAGCCAGTGTGGGCCCAACTTTTAGTCTCAGGTCTGCCCTGGCTGTAATTGGAACTGGCCCCTCTCAGATGCCCCCAGAGTAAGGGCACAGACCAGCGACTCACCTTCTTGGTAAACTTGGTGGTTTTGATCTCCACAAAAGCTGCACTGACTGCTTTCAGGTAACTGCGTTGGTTGTTGAAAGTCACACGACCAGACCCTAGGAGCAACAGACACACTTTACCTTCCAGCCAAGTTCTCCAAATGCCACTTGGCAAACATGTTTCTAGACCAGTGCAGTCTGATAAAAATGAGCTACTTACAGAACTTTAAATTTTCTCATAGTTAACAATAAAGTAAATAAGAAATCAGTATATCTAAGTTTAATAATATGACTCCTCTAGTGCAGACACATACACAGTTCAAGTTGGGTTCAGAGATTCGGAGTAGAATCTGAACAAATACAGCCTGAACACCTCTCTACAAGGATAGGCCTGGAAGGACTCAGAGATCTAGCTGGGGAGCCAGAAAAACTCCAGCCTGCCAAGTGCCGCCTCCGTCCCTGCAGCCTCTGAAGTCCCTGTTCTCAATGTGCGGTGCAGCACTGATGAGCACACGGTGCTCCTTCCTGGCCAGATTCAGTGTGGGTGGGCAGACGAAGCTTTGGGGAGGTGGGTTAGCTATGTCTTGATTAGAAAGCATAGGCTCTGCAGCACCTCCAATCCCTACCACTGTGACTATTTCCCATGACATGGAAAATCATCTCCTTTGTTAGAGTCCATACAGGTCAGGAAGAGGCACTGAACAAAACCCAGTGGTTAGGCCCATGGACTCTGGTAAGCTGGAAGAGCAATGGCTGTGACTACAAACTCGCTTGAGTCACTCTGAGCCCTCCAGGAGCTTGTAAGACTGAAAAAAAAAAGTTTTTAAAGAACTATGAATAAAGGAAACCAGGCAAGGTCAAGAGTGCTGCCTTTTAATGACTTACCTATTGTCTGACCCAAACTGTGAACTTGGGAGTTTCTAACCAAGGTTTCTGCCTAGCTCATCTCCTGTGATCACCTCCTATAGTCCTCTATTACTTGGGGGGGCAATATGGAGGGGTTACTGCTGGTGACTAGTCCAGGAAAAGTGTTATGCTGCTGGTATATGCTGATCAGCAAACCTGGGTCAGGTCTCTCTCCTCACTCCCATGGGAATTACCACAACCCTGGTCTACATCCCAGGGGCCATCAAGCCTTCCAACACAAAAGTGGGACACTTACCAATGGGATACTTGTGCTTATCTGTGTCAATCCCAGCATACACCACTCCACCAAATAGGTCATTCAAGATGGCCGCCAGAGCCTCAGCATTAAGCATTCCGTGCAGTGCGCCAACAAACACCGTCCTGCTGGGGTCAAGTCTCTGAGATGGACTCCGGACAAAATTGCTGTCAGCCAAGACCCAGGGGATTACCTGTACCTGAAAACCATCAAAAGGTACATCAGCGCTGCCACAGATACAGAGGCTCGTATATGGTAAATCACATGCTCTGGAAATACTAAAGCTGAGGCTGTTGAGCCAGTGTAGTGGGAAAGATGGGGTTACCACCTGTCTCAGACACACTGGTGAACTGTAAGCCACCTTTTTTCACCCCAACCCAGCTAGCATTGAACTTTACTGAGGGTCCAAGTATCCAGAATAGTCAAAGTAAGCGGTAGATCAGCACTCTCTCATCTTGGAGAACAAGCAAAAAAGTACCAAACTGTCATATCCAGGAACCTAACCCTCTGTCCCAAGTTCCAACTGTGTGGTGCTATCAAAGGGTCTTGGACAATGATGAACAAAGACCATGAGGAAGGGTTCTAAGAAAAATTAAAGGAGAAGAGCTTGAAGGAACAGTAGGGATGTTGACGATGCCTGCATGATAGTTACTGGCCCAGTGCAGGAGTAATGGGGAATTAGAAATGGAGGACGGAAAGCTGTGCACAGAACATCACTGAAATCTTGCAGAGCTGAGATCCACTAGGGCAGAAGGTTGGCCATGTCCTTTGCCCATGACTCCTGAACCTGGAAAAAAATATCTGGCACAGTAAGCAGACTTTACAAGCAAATAATAGGTGACCAGTAAATATTTAGAAGATTAATACATGAGGATTTAAAAAAAAGTCTTGAAGTAGGAAAAGTTCTGAGGCAGAAACCAGTAAGCACAAGAAAGCAGCAGTGTGAAGGATGGGAGATTAAGGCCTAGAGAAGACTGATGTCCGGAGCAAAGTATGAGCTAAGACCAAGGAGATACTTTAATTGAATAGCCTGCAAATTCAGACTGCTTGAGCCTGGTGGGTAAACAACAAAAAATCCAGACTGATGGGTTCTCAGCCTAGATGGCCTTGAGATGGTAAGGCATGGCGGAAGTTATCAGCAGAGCCAATGGCACCCAAAGATGTCAAAGTACACAGCTGAGTTTGGGACTAAAGGACATCCCAAAAGATACCCAAAGGAAGTAGAGGCTCAGGTAGGTAGGTTATGAGGCTAGAGAGGTGAATCTGGGTCTGAAGACCAATAGAGGGAATAATTTATCTGAAATGAAATTTATCAAAGGAAATGAAGGGGGAGGCAAGTATTAACTATACTGTGGTGGAGGGAGACAAAAGACATAAGAAAAGCAATGAATCAAATAAAATTTAAATCACTGCAAGGTGCTGAGGAGAGAATGGAACTTCATCAGCCAAATATGATAATCCTAATTTGCTGATTCTGTCCTCACTGAAATAGAAAGTAATAATACCAAACCAGATGTTTAGGGTAATAATTATCACATTCCAATACATTTTCAAAGGTATCAGCAGGAGCACTGACAAAGGTCAAGGGGTCTAGGGTATGGATGTGGTAGCCTCTCTCTGGGAAGGGGGGCAGGGAAGGAACAGCATGTTAACTAAAGCCTCAGAGAGCTCCATGATGCAAAGGAAAAGAGATGGGAAAGCCATGGATCACCAAGGACACCAAGAAGCTTAACCTAATTCTCCTTTCACTAAGACAGAACATGACCCAACAACAGAAAACCATAAAACAAAAAGCAAACTTCATTACATAGATTCTTTCATTTTAAATCCAGTGTGACTATCCCAATCAAGCATGCATTTTAACTCCCTGTTTTATAGATATGAAGTAAAGTTTCAGAGATGTTAAATATCTGGTCCAATGTTACATTAGTGATGCTGTCTGGAATTAGATTTTTAAAATCACAAAACTGACTCCTTAAGCTCAAAATGTCCTTTTGCCAGTAATTTAACACCACCCACTAGGGCTCAGGAATCTACAATGAGGTCCTCAGGTAAGAAAATTCCATGCTACCAAGGACACATTAGGCTGGCACGAGGACAAGCGTTAAGGAGAGAGAATCACATAGAGAAATTGGCATAACTAGCAAAGCCCTGTGTGAGAATGAGAGTGATCTTGGGGGGCTAGAGGGGAATTTATATACTACAGACAAGGAGGTCAGAAGGTACAGCCTGAAGGAAGTTCTAGGGAGAAACTGCTTTAGATTTTATTAGTACATTCAAGTAGAGAAAGTTGCTGCTTTTAATTGAATCTTATAAGCAGAGATTTCAGGCAGAAGCAGTAGCTGGAAGAGAAGGGTTGAAGGATAATTTGAGCTCCATGGGCAAAGCATGCACACACACACCACTGAGGCCCAAGGGTTCATTTGTTTTTTGATGTAATTAGGAGGGTTTTGTCTGAATTATGGGGCAATAAGAGCAATGTTCTTTTCTCGGCAGGAATTTATTATTTTAATAAAAATATCCCTGTAGTTATAATCAACATACCTGCAAGGCTACAACTCTATGTTACCTAAGATAGTTCCAGGCAGAACTGTCATTTTTATCCAATTACAATGATACTTTGAGTCACGTGGTTCCCCTCTGCACATGTTATAAACACATGCTGTTTTTGTTGCTGCTAGTGTTTTCTATAGTTCCTGATTTTGTCAAAATTTCTCACGTTTTAATGACAATATTGTGGTACATAGTATTTATGAACCTGTAACTTTTTTTTTTTTTAATGAAGCAGTAATTAAATGAAAAAGAGAATTTAAAATGCAATTAACAGCTTTACTTTTTACAAATTATGGTCTGGTATGGGAGGAAGCCCCCAGGGATGGGGAGGACACCCACCCTAGTGACCTCACTGACAGGAATACTTCTCATCAGCAGCTGAGGATCTACCCACCCCAAGGAAGTCCTGTGCCTCACATGCCAGTCACCCTGCACAGAGAGAAGCCACAAGAACTCACCTCCTTGCAGCGCATCCTTCGGCTGGACATCTTGAAATAATATTCACTCAGGCCATCTGGGCTCAGCGGGTCATGAGAGCAAGCCTGTAGCAAGGCTCGGACAGACTTCTCTAGTTCAAAGACCAGATACACATACCCTATTCCCAATGAAAGAAGAAAGCACATTAACAGTCCTTCATGTAGTGAGTCATCAGCCTTGACTTTGAAGAGTTTCCTCTAGAGAAGAATCCTCATATATAAGACTCATTTTTGTCCTACTCCTGAAAAGTCTTGAATGGAAGCACTTTTTATGTCAGATATCCAGAACAAGGGAGTTCTTCCTTACTCTACTGAGGGACGGGATTGGCAAGTTGGGATAGAGGATTCCACCACTACTATACAGACGCTTTCTGCTCCTGTAAAGATTTACAGTCCTGGAAACCCTGTACAGGGTCACTATGAGTCGGAATCAACTCCACGGCACATAACAACAATACAACTCTGCATCCCAGAATGCAAAGTATGTTTAGGTCAGCAGAGCCAGACTTTACTGGGGACAAGAATGATAGCAGGTCTACAGCCAATCTGCCAGGGTACGGAAGTATTACTTTAAAAGCCTAGTTAAGCCACTGGTTCAGTTCATGGGAACATTTTCAGTGAAGATGGGACAGTGTGAAAATAGCACCTGCGTTCCTTTCTACAGGGAAGGGATCTCATTTCAGACCAGTGAAAAATCAGATGCTTGGTCTGCATTCCTGCCAACTCCAAAGGGATCTCAAAATTAGGTCATAAGCAAAAACTAAACAGAAAAAGCACGCAAGGGAAAGATGTCCAAATGCCTCATTTTGGGAACAAAAGACTTGTCACAGGGTTGAGGTATGAAGGGAAGTGCATAAGGTAGGGAGGGTTTTAGAGGTAGCTCCCACTATAGTATAAATTCGGACAGATGGACTATTAGCTCAGAAGAAACAGAAGGGTGTGTTAGTTTGATGAGAAAAAGTGCAGGCTTCTGAAAGGTATGTGCCTTCGAGTGCCCATACCATGTTACCAGCATGCAGCTGTGACATCCCAGACCCTCTCAGTGTAATTATGTACTAAGGAGGGGGAAAAAAAAATTCCTACCATGTCTTTATTACCTTTAGGCATATTACCTTTGGGAGGACACCGGGGATGCTTGCCATCCTTACCAGGCCACTCCACACTCAAAGAGCCAAAAACACGGAAGGTGTTAACCAATCCAGCTGCAAAGAGACAGAAAAGAATGGTTCGGAAAGGTACAAGTTTAAGATCACCAGCATTCTCATCCCCCTGACAAATGACTCAGAATTAACTACGGATCTCAGGAGACAAGTGCAAGCATCAATAGGAGCATTGTAGGAATCTACCAAATGCACTTCTCCCCTCAGCTGCTCCTCTACCAGCCTGTGCGCAGGCCGAGGTCAGCCTCTAGCACTCCAAGTTTCGTGACACTGAAGGACATGCTCCAGCTTCAACTCTTGTAGCAGGAATCTCACCTTCCGTAATATCCCAGGGAACACCTCCTAGAAACACTTTGCAAGAGTAGATAGGGTTCTTGTAGTTCCGGGGAGGAAGCTGGCCGCTCCAGGTACAAGTGGCTTCATTCACAGCTTGGTAGAAGACAGAGAAATAGAGGTCAGAGAATCAACAGTCACTACCTTTCCCTAAGGTGAGCTTGTCCAGGAAGAACTAGTCTGAGATCACAATAATAATCCAAGTGCCTGGGAGAATGTCACACTATCCCAACAGGCAAGAAATCTTAGGGATCACCAACTTCATCAGCCAAATATGATAATCCGAATTTGCTAATTCTGTCCTCACTGAAATAGAAAGTAATAATACCAAACCAGATGTTTAGGGTAATAATTATCACATTCCAATACATTTTCAAATATTATCATAGTTGATAAGCTAAACACAAAAAATAGTTTATAGCTGTTAATTATAACCTGAATTAATTTAAATGTACAATTACTTGAAAATAACCAGAGCAGTTTGCTACATCACGTCATATAGGTTAATTCTTTACTGGCCCAAGCAGGCCTTCTCCCCGACTACATGAATGAGGGAACATGCTTACTGTCTTGGCTCTGAACTCCGCCATCACTGAAATGAGAACATCGCCAATAAAACCACCACAGCAACCCAACAAGACAAAAATGTTTCCTACATCATTGCCAGAGATGTTCTTATAGTACCTGAAGAGAAATGGTATTCCTGGGTGCCAAATTTACAGTATCATGGATTTGCCTCCAACCCCCCTTATTACCTTTATGAGAATTTATAGCTAAGTTAAAATAGGTGCATATGTGTCTTATTTAGATTTACTTAAGAGTAGGAGGCTGTCTCCTTCCAAAAATATTCGCAGTCTCAGTCTCAGAAGCCCTACTCTGTTCCACAGAGTCACCATGAATCAGAAGTGACTAGATGGTAGGAGGATTGGGGACTTTTAGTGGAAGAAAAGACTTAAAGCCTCTTCAATGACTTTAAAACTGCAGTCCATCAAGTGAAGGTGATTATGATGAAAAATTTGTTGAGAGTAGGGGTTGGTTCAAGGAGTCTTGGTAGCATAGTGGGTTACAGGTTGGATTGCTAATCACAGGTCAGCAGTCGGAATCCATCAAACATTCAGTGAGAGAAAGATGAAAAATTTTCTTGTCTGATGAATATTTTCAGCCTTGGAAACCCTACAGGTTTCCTATGAGTAGAAACTGACTCCATGGCATACAGCCACTACCACAACCAGGGACTGGTTCACTAATTTCAAAGTGAGGAGGACAAACTTACGTACTATTAAAGGGCAAATACAAGTTGTCCATGAATTGGATTGTTCGTAACCTCTGACTGCCAGTACAGAGTTCCTCTTTGGCCTGCCCCTTGTAACTTGTAGGGGTCTCTCTGATCTTGTGACCATTTCAACCTTCTATCAGCGTTTACTTCTGTCCTTACCCCCAGTCTATTCCTTTTCAGCTCTGAGACTGACCTTAATGGGGACTGGCTGATCCTTGCCCATTCTACCCTCCTCCACTAGCACTGAAGCACACAGCCAATAGAATGAACTATCATTTTCATTCAAGACAAGGATCTGGAAGGTCTTTGCTACAGCAAGAAACTGGGTACTGTCAAGCAGTATTTTGCAAACAGAATCAGAAGTTGATATAACAGCCTTACCCAAAATCATGGTAATGTTTCTCAAGACAATAGCACTAGAGACAGTACAAAGATGGCAAGACCATTAGTGAACAAGGGTAGCTGTATTAGGAAGGCCCTATTCTGTGAGTCCATAGGCCTACAGGGAAGCCCAGTTAATACCACTATTATTCAAATTTATGCACCAACCACTAAAGCCAGTGAGGATGAAATAGAAGAATTCTA